TGCACCAAAGTTGTTCCACGAGCGATTTGTAGCGGTCTCCATTAATTAATAGGTGGAGCTTGCTGGCCAGATTGTTGTACACGCACATGCCTGCTGTTGGCGCCCTGTGAGGGGAACCTGGGAGGTGGGGAGGCGTGACGTCACGAGCCAACGGTAATCGTGGCACGACGTGGAGGAATTAGACGCTCGTCAATTGTTGGCCATACACTGTTGGGGCATAATATTATGGGGTTAATGGCGGTGTCATCTTAAAGCCCTGTTCATTTGCCTTCCTTTGGGGGATTTGGGGGGGGGGGAGGATATCCGTCTACATTGGATAGAAGTTGAAATATTTGCAATTGAAGGAGGTCAGGGTTGCCTGGTTTCAGAAGAGAAATGAGCGAGAAAACGGTCGCCAAAGTTTGGTAACTGCCATAGCTTGATGGTCCTTAGAAAAAGAAAATGTACATTTTTTGGGGTACCTTTACTTAAAGATTGTCTGTAATATCCGTAGACAAATGTGTTTCAGAAAGGACGTAAAAGGTGTTGAGAAAAAAAAATCCACATAAATTTCCAAACTGCGAAAAATTCTGATTTCTCGGATTTCATTATTTTGACGAGCGCCTGATTTCAGCCCCTCTCCTCCGGATTGTAACTTCTGTTGTGAATCTACTTTGGTACTTTCCTCTCATATTTATCTCGCCGTCTGCTGGGATCCTACTTTTGTACCGGGGTTTAAAACTCTTATTAAAACTAAAATTACCTGCTCGATTCCTGTGTGACTGTGAGTGGCAGTGACGGGTTTGGTTTTATTTATTGATGTTTTTATTCTATTTTGTAAAATTTAGTTAGTTAGTTAGTTATTCATTTATTTAGTTTAAAATGTATTTATTTATTTATTTATTTATTCATTTACTAAAACGCATTTATTTATTTATATTTATGTATTTATTTATTAATTTTTTCAGGGTGGGGAGGGGGTGAGATTATCGTGTCCCTGTTCGGAAGTCTAAGTCATAGCTTGAAACAATAAATGATTTAGGTATAAAATAATAACAATAACAACTTCACAGCCGTTGGAAGATATAAACTGGCTGCCAGTTGAGAAGAGAATTGTTCATGATGAATGGTCCACTCCTCGGCATAAATGGTTGCAGGGTACTATACCACCATGTGTAAAAGAATCTTATTGCTTTGCTACCCCTGTTATATATCATCAAGAATATTTTTAACCCTGTTATATATCGCCAAAAACATTACTAACCCTGTTATTTTATATATCGTCAAAAACATTACTGACCCTGTTATTTTATATATCGTCAAAAACATTACTGACCCTGTTATATATCGTCAAAAACATTACTGACCCTGTTATTTTATATATCATCAAAAACATTACTGACACTGTTATTTTATATATCGTCAATAACATTACTGACCCTGTTATATATCGTCAAAAACATTACTGACCCTGTTATATATCGTCAAAAACATTACTGACCCTGTTATATATCGTCAAAAACATTACTGACCCTGTTATATATCGCCAAAAACATTACTGACCCTGTTATATATCGTCAAAAACATTACTGACCCTGTTATATATCGCCAAAAACATTACTAACCCTGTTATTTTATATATCGTCAAAAACATTACTGACCCTGTTATATATCGCCAAAAACATTACTAACCCTGTTATTTTATATATCGTCAAAAACATTACTGACCCTGTTATTTTATATATCGTCAAAAACATTACTGACCCTGTTATTTTATATATCGTTAAAAACATTACTGACCCTGTTATATATCGTCAAAAACATTACTGACCCTGTTACTTTATATATCGTCAAAAACATTACTGACCCTGTTATATATCGTCAAAAACATTACTAACCCTGTTATTTTATATATCGTCAAAAACATTACTAACCCTGTTATTTTATATATCGTCAAAAACATTACTGACCCTGTTATATATCGCCAAAAACATTACTGACCCTGTTATATATCGCCAAAAACATTACTAACCCTGTTATATATCTCCAAAAACATTACTGACCCTGTTATATATCGCCAAAAACATTACTGACCCTGTTATATATCGCCAAAAACATTACTGACCCTGTTATTATATTATACAACCAAGAGATTTGCTGATCCTGTCATTACAATATTACAATCATATTGCTGAGCCTGTTATTACAATATTACAATCATATTACTGATCCTGTTATTACAATATTACAATCATATTGCTGAGCCTGTTGTTACAATATTACAATCATATTACTGATCCTGTTATTACAATATTACAATCATATTACTGATCCTGTTATTACAATATTACAATCATATTACTGATCCTGTTATTACAATATTACAATCATATTGCTGAGCCTGTTATTACAATATTACAATCATATTACTGATCCTGTTATTACAATATTACAATCATATTACTGATCCTGTCATTACAATATTACAATCATATTGTTGACCCTGTTATAAATTAAATAAATTAAGAATACTCCATCTGGTAGTGATATCCAGGTCAATAAACTTGGGTGAACGAACGATCTTTAGTTTTGCTGGCACCAAAATCTGGAACAATCTTCCTTTAAAAAAAACTGAGAGATACAAAAAAAATGTCGAGTCTTTTAAAACTCTTTTGAAAAATCTTTTAATAGATCATGAATACTGTAGGGTTTTTTTAATCTTCAGCGAGTTAATTGTGTGTTATTTTGCGTGTGTATGCGTTTGTGTGTCTCTGGGTGTATGTGTGTGTGTGTGTGAATGTGTGTGTGTGTGTGTGTGTGTGTGTGTGTGTGTGTGTATGTGTGTGTGTGTGTGTGTGTATATTTATTATCTACTTTATTTGATTGCACAGAGCTCAGTTGTTGTACCATCTGCTGCATGGTTAGATCACTTTTGTCTAATATTCCTCTGACCCCGTCTATCCATATTTATCGGTACCTTCTTCTTGCAACACAATTATGTCATCTCTATCTATGCATATTCTATTTGTGAAAGCCGTCACTTTGGCCGCCTAAAATTTCCCAACCATTTATTCAACTTTCGAATTTGACGAAAGGAACATTTTGTTTTGAGATTACAGATCTATATCTAGCCCTTCTAATTGTTTGCATTTCTCAAGATTTATTACTCCATTCCAGTAGAGTGTAAATATACAATGTAGTAGGCCAATGACTTTCAGTTGATGTAAATGCACCGATCATTCCTTTCATCGAAAGGGTTCTAGTTTTTTAGTAAGAATTTTGCGGCACTTGCAACACAATAAGGTCATATAGATCTAAGTGCCGAACATTACAGATGTTACAAAAGAGTTACAAACACAAATTATTAGAAGGAGGAGAAATAAGAACGCTACATACATTGTATTTGATATGAATCCTTTTTTTTTTTTAATCTTGCAACGACACTTGCAACACAATAAGGTCATATAAGTGCCGAACATTACAGATGTTACAAGAGAGTAACAAACTCAAAAATAAGAAGGAGAGATAAGAACGCTACATATTTTATATGAATCATTTTTGGTAAGAGTTTTACGGCACTTGCAGTCACAATAAGGTCATATAAGAGCCCAACATTACAGACGTTACAACAGAGTAGAGAGTAACAAACACAAATTATCAGAAGGAGGAGAGATAAGAACGCTATTTATTTGATATGGATCCTTTTTGTTCTTTTCTTTTTGTAAGTTTTATGGCACTTGCAACAGAATAAGCTCAAATAAGCGCCGAACATTAGAGATGTTACAAGAGAGTAACAAACACAAATTATCAGAAGGAGGAGAGATAAGAGCGCCAGGTATTTGATAGAACAGAAGTAAGGAGCAAACCACACCAAAGCACCCGCTCTGATTGAAGGTGTCCCAACGTATTTGAGAGCAACGTAACTAGAAACAAAGAAAAGAAAAAGAAGGAATAAGGAAGACAGAAGTTTGGCAGAAAAGAAGGAGCGAACCACACTGGAGCGCCCGCCAACCACCCACTTCTGACTCCACATTGTAAAACAAACATCAACGTCACGCTCTATACCACAAAAAATGAACCTAAATAAAAACAAAACCACAGATCCTTGTTTTCTCCTAAATCATTTTTAACTCATTTATTTCTTAAAGTAGTGGGCTTCAGTTATATATACAGTATATTATATATATATATATATATATATATATATATATATATATATATATATATATACAGTGGAGTGCTCTTCAAATGAAATCTGCGGTACTCCGGTGGTTTAGGAAGGTTGTTGAAGAAGAAGAAGAAAAAGAAGAGGAAGGAGGAGGAGGAGGAGGAGGAGGAGGAGGAGGAGGAGGAGGAGGAGGAGGAGGAGGAGGAGGAGGAGGAGGAGGAAAGAGAAGACGAAGAAGAAGAAGAAGAAGAAGAAGAAGAAGAAGAAGAAGAAGAAGAAGAAGAAGAAGAAGAAGAAGAAGAAGAAGAAGAAGAAGAAGAAGAAGAAGAAGAAGAAGAAGAAGAAGAAGAAGAAGAAGAAGAAGAAGAAGAAGAAGAAGAAGAAGAAGAAGAAGAAGAAGAAGAAGAAGAAGAAGAAGAAGAAGAAGAAGAAGAAGAAGAAGAAGAAGAAGAAGAAGTCTCTAGTCCAATTGATCTATTTATGTAGTTCCATATCCACCACCACCCCTTCCAAACCCACCCCCTTTGAAACAAAAACCCAAAGAAATATAGCAGCCCCTGCAATTTATAAACATGACAAATAATGCAGGTCCATTTTAGGGTCCTTTTAGCGTTGTTTTAAATTCATCTCTCTCTCTCTCTCTCTCTCTCTCTCTCTCTCTCTCTCTCTCTCTCTCTCTCTCTCTCTCTCTCTCTCTCTCTCTTTCTCTCTCTCTCTCTCTTTTTATTTTTAAATATATATATATATATTTATATATTTATCTATCTATGTACCTCTCTCTCTCTCTCTCTCTCTCTCTCTCTCTCTCTCTCTCTCTCTCTTTCTCTCTCTCTCTCTCTCTCTCTCTCTGTCTTTCTCTCTCTTTCCTCTCTCTATCTCTTCTGAAAATTATTTTACTAATGTGCACGAATGTGTTTTTAAGCCCCCACCGGTACAGTTTAGACCATGTAGGAGGCGGTTCTCTCTCCGCCTAGAAGATCTACTTCTTCTTCTTGGGCGCTGCTGCTTCCTCGGCCCGGGCCTTGAGCATGTCTCTGTGGACCACAGACTAGAGTCAGCGAGAGTTTTACGGCACTTGCGACACAAGTAGGTCATATATTATAAGTGCCAAAGTTAGTTTAGTTTTGGTTAGAATTTTAAAGCACTTGCGACACAATTAGTTCATATAACTGCCGATGATTATAGAGATTTTAGTCAGTTAGATTCAGTGGGAGTTTTACGGCATTTGCAATACAATTAGGTCGTATAGATAGTCATTATAGTATAGGGATTTTAGTTTAGATTTAGGGAGGGAAAGTTTTGTGGCACTTGCAACACAATTAGGTCATATAAGTGCCGAAGTTAGTTTAGTTTTAGTAAGAGTTTTACGACACTTGCAACAAAATAAGGTCATATAAGTGCCGAAGGTTAAAGGTGTTACAAGAGAGTAACAAACACAAAAAAGAAGGAGGAGAGATCAGGACGATAGAAGTTTGATAGGAAGAAAGGAGCGAACCACACCAGAGCCCCCGCCAACCACCACTAAGTGCCGAAGATTAGAGGGATTTTAGTTTAGATTTAGTGAGTGAAAGGTTTGTGGTACTTGAAACAAAATCAGGCCATATAAGCTAGATCTAAGTGCTTTAGAAAACTCCACAGAACGGCAAGAGTTCAAGATCACCCGGATTGGGATTCAAACCTAAGCCATCCTCTCCGTAGTGGCGTGAAAAATCAGAAAGTTTGGCTTAGAATCTCTGCAGTATTTTTGGTAAAGCTTTAGATTAAAACCTCGCACTTTCCAAAAGGCATATTATTGACTAGATCACGCACCCAGCAAAACTCGAACATAACAAAAAGATTTCCGCAACCCACTCCTATTTCGCTAAGATGCGCCTGCTAGAAACAAAAATGTTTTTCTTTTTTGTCTCACCTCAACGACAACTGTGTTTGTTGTTGTTTTTGTTTTATTTTTGTTTTTTGACAACTGTATCTGTCTCACCTGACAACTGTATTTGTCTCACCTGTATTTGTCTCACCTGACACCAGTATTTGTCTCACCTGGGCGACAACTGTATTTGTCTCACCTGACAACTGTATTTGTCTCACCTGACACCTGTATTTGTCTCACCTGACACCTGTATTTGTCTCACCTGTATTTGTCTCACCTGACACCTGTATTTGTCTCACCTGACACCTGTATTTGTCTCACCTGTATTTGTCTCACCTGACAACTGTATTTGTCTCACCTGTATTTGTCTCACCTTTACCACACCTGTATTTGTCTCACCTGACAACTGCATTTGTCTCACCTGTATTTGTCTCACCTTTACCACACCTGTATTTGTCTCACCTGACAACTGCATTTGTCTCACCTGCATTTGTCTCACCTGACAACTGTATTTGTCTCACCTGTATTTGTCTCACCTGACAACTGTATTTGTCTCACCTGTATTTGTCTCACCTTTACCACACCTGTATTTGTCTCACCTGACAACTGCATTTGTCTCACCTGCATTTGTCTCACCTGACAACTGTATTTGTCTCACCTGTATTTGTCTCACCTGACAACTGTATTTGTCTCACCTGTATTTGTCTCACCTGACACCAGTATTTGTCTCACCTGGGCGACAACTGTATTTGTCTCACCTGACAACTGTATTTGTCTCACCTGACACCTGTATTTGTCTCACCTGACACCTGTATTTGTCTCACCTGTATTTGTCTCACCTGACACCTGTATTTGTCTCACCTGTATTTGTCTCACCTGACACCTGTATTTGTCTCACCTGACACCTGTATTTGTCTCACCTGTATTTGTCTCACCTGACACCTGTATTTGTCTCACCTGTATTTGTCTCACCTGACACCTGTATTTGTCTCACCTGACACCTGTATTTGTCTCACCTGTATTTGTCTCACCTGACAACTGTATTTGTCTCACCTGACATCTGTATTTGTCTCACCTGTATTTGTCTCACCTGACACCTGTATTTGTCTCACCTGACACCTGTATTTGTCTCACCTGGAGATGTAGCCAGGCTGATCAGCTTCGAAGGCGTCAAAGCCCTGGATGTTTTCGCGCGCCCCCTGGTGCTGTAGTTCCACTCGCACCGAGTCTGGGGGCACTCGCCTCTGCCGGAACACGTGTAGCTACACACGGGGGGGGGAGGGGAGGAGAGGGGAGAGAGGGGGAGAGGGGAGAGGGGGTAGGAGGGGAGAGAGGAGAGAGAGAGAGAGAGGGGATGGGAGAGGGGGAGGGGAGGGGGAAAGGGAGAACGGAGATGTGCGGGGCAGGGGGAGGGGAAAGGGGAGAGGGGAAGGGGAAGAGGGAGGGAATTGGGAGATGGGCGGGGAGAGGGGGGGAGTGGGGGAGGGGAAGGAAGAGTTTTGGAAGGGGGAGAGGGGGAGAGAAGAGGCAGTGAGGAGAGGTTGGGTTAATGCTCAGTTTTCAGATACCTCAAACTAATTTTGAATGTGAAGTCACCAAAAGAGGGCGACTGTAAGTCCCGCCTCACACAGGACGAGACCTTTCACGTGTCACGTTTTACCCACAGACAAGCAACATTAGGCCAGTCTCACAGAGAGCGTCACTCCACACGTCACGGCGGTGAACAGACACGGGTCCCGCGTGTGAGCCAAAGTGTTCACTATCATTTGTGAGGCAGCATAGTGAAACCAGGCGCTCGTCAAAATAATGAGAGTAAAGAAACTGTCAGTTTTCCATAGGTTTGGTAATTTTTATAGAATTTTTGCTGGGGTTTAAAGAACACATTTCTGTGTGGATTTTACTGAAACACATTGATTATATTTTAAAACTTTTTGGAATGCAGTCCTTGGTATATCTTGATAACGACTCCGATTAAAGGCATAAAAGATGTAAATTTTCAGTTGCCACGGACTCTCAACGTAAAGAAAAGAACGCAACTTTGCCGGCCATTTTCTCGCTAACTTTACCGCTAAACTAGGCGACCCTCACCTCCTTCAATCGCTAATATCTCGACTTGAATCCAAGGTAAATAGATATTATTTCCTTCAAAAGCAAGACAAATGGACAGGCTTTAAGATGATACCAATAACTCAGTATGCCCACAAAACTGACGAGCGCCTGAAAAGGGGGGGGGGGGGGTTGCAATGTGTTTTATTAATTTTAAAAAACTACCTCATACATACATTCCTTGTAGTGTCGTGTTTTGTGGATTGAAACTCTAATGCGCTACAGTCTGACTTACGAAACTGTTGACTCTTGCTATGAACTTTGACCTTTCACTTTTGACCTCCTCGACGGGTTCAACAACAAAAGCAGACACTGCTGGAAGCATGATCAAACACAAAGGAAACCAGTTCCAAATTTGGGGAAAATTGAACTTAGTTTTAGCCTGAGTAAGTTCTATGGCACCTGCAATAAAACAAGCACATGTGAGTGCCAAGGATTAGAGGTTTTACAGCAGGGTATTCACTGCAAAAAAGAATGAAGGCAAATAAAGACAACAGATGTTTCAAAGGAAAGAAGGAGCAAACCACACCAGAGCACCCGCAAACCACCCACTAATAGCTTTGGTCTTGTATAAGCGGGTCGTGATTGACCTAAATTTTTAAAAATTTTAGTAAGGGGGCGTGACCTGTTATATATATATATATATTAATTTTTTTAAAGAAAAGATGTTTTTCACACCCTCCTCGGCGCAGTTTAGATTAGTTCACATAGGAATGAGGCGGGCTTCCCACCCTGCCTGTGAGAGCAAAACCTAGCTGTGGGTACACAACATCCCAGCTGCAAAACCTAGCTGTGGGTACACAACATCCCAGCTGCAAAACCTAGCTGTGGGTACACAACATCCCAGCTGCAAAACCTAGCTGTGGTGTAAACAATGTCCCAGCTGCAAAACCTAGCTGTGGGTACACAACATCCCAGCTGCAAAACCTAGCTGTGGTGTAAACAATGTCCCAGCTGCAAAACCTAGCTGTGGTGTAAACAATGTCCCAGCTGCAAAACCTAGCTGTGGGTACACAACATCCCAGCTGCAAAACCTAGCTGTGGGTACACAACATCCCAGCTGCAAAACCTAGCTGTGGTGTAAACAATGTCCCAGCTGTAAAACCTAGCTGTGGTGTAAACAATGTCCCAGCTGTAAAACCTAGCTGTGGTGTAAACAATGTCCCAGCTGTAAAACAAAGATATTCGATTTTTTTTTAAAGCAACAAAAGTCTTTTCAACTGAAGGATCAAACGTGGGTCTCATGCGTGCGACAGGGAAGTCTCTCATTCAGAGGTCCCGGGTTCGAATCCGTGTAGCGACCGAAAACCTTTCTTCTCTAAAATCGTCTCAATTCACCTCCTTTCCTGCTCTCTAGCAAATTTTTGTCGTCCTCTTTCGTCTACACGTTCTGCCCCTACCCCCTCACCTCTTTTGCCCCCTCCTCTGGGCACCCGACTCTTTCTGCAGCCTTTCTACTGCTTCTCCTTGGCTCCTTCTTACAGCTGTCTTTCAGCCACAGCCCTGGTCTTATGGCAGGAAAGACCTACACCTACACCTAGCCTTCTGGGACACCTACCAAAGAAAAAATAAGAACAGAAAAAAGAAGACAAACGCTTTGCCAACACCCCAAGTCAATATTGTTAAGAATAGGAGTTTGATAACTTCCTTAACATTTTAACGCAAATGTAGTTTTCTTGGTAACAATGTTTGGGGGAGGGTTTCTTTCCTGTAAAATTGTGAAACCTGCGTGCACTGTACTTTTGAATAATGACGTAGGGCTCTGACCTGTCATGTACCCCCAGTCATTTTTAGTGACCAATCAGAGGCCTTCTTTCAGATCAGGCGTTTCTGGCACAGGCTTGAGTGCGAAAAGGGGAATCCGTTGTTATCCGTTAGTA